TCCCAGCTGGAGGTGCCGGCGGCGCGCCCCGCGAAGCAGGGCAGGCACGTCGCCGTGGGCGGCAACAGCTACCCAGACGACTGGCAGGGCAAGCGCGTCCTGAGGTCGGAGTGCAGGACGACCTGCCGGGGATCTCCTGCAAGGAGCTCACGCTCCCTGCTCTGTGAGGGCGCGGCGCGCGAGGCGGACTGGCTGTACATCATTGGCGAGGACAACTACGTGAGCACCAAGAACGTCGAGCAGTGGCTCGAGGCTAAGGGCCCAGACAACGCCGTCGCCTACGGCGTCGTCGGGTGCGGGAGAGGCCTGTTCTGCTACGACGCGTAGCCTATAGCACGAACGGCGGCTTCTGCGGGGGCGACGGCCGCATCATCAGCCGCGCCGCCCTGCAGAGCTTCCCAGCCAACGGCGCACCAGCGCTCCACGAGATCTACGACGCCACCACGTGGCCGAACGACATGACGACCAGCTGCCAGCTCCGCAAGCGCGAGGTCAGGCTCACCATGGGCCCCTGCACAAGCGGCGGCCCCGTCTTCAACACCGCGGACTTCGAGGGGAGCGCGCGCAGCGGCTTCGCAACCGCGCACTACGTCAGGCCCCTGGTCGTGAGGTGGTTCCACGCGGAGGTTGAGGGCATGCCTGATTCCGTGAAGAGGCCGCTAGAGGAGTTTGCGTGCGATCGTGGATGCGCCATCGGCATGAATGGTACTCGCTGGGACGAGGAGCGGATGAGCTGCCAGGGAGGCATGGGCGGTCGGCAGGCCCCTGACAAGGAGCGGGCCAACAGGCTCAGCCTGAAGCTGGAGGGGCCCGCGCCGCTCCCCTGACCGCATCGGGATCTACTCTCCTTTTTAGGTGTCTCGCGGCTTCGTTGCATGTTTTTATCTTCCATACGTGCCAGATCGCCGAAACTATGGCTTCAACTCAGAGGAGCAGTTTTTCAAGAGTTCCAGGCTTTCCCGTCCTTCGCGCGGGCTCCAGGGACGCATGGTCGAGCGCATTCCGCAGGTTCTTTGCGTGATGTGCGCGGTGCGTGTTCGCGCACCGGAGCGCCCTCGGAGATTCCAAGCTGCATTCTGTTTTGCTTTTGGGGGGTCCGCGTGTCGCAGCTGCCGTGGCGCGATTTTCGAGGTAACCCCTTCGAGTGCTGTTCGCGGGCGCAGGGCGCGTCGCGCGCTGCGCCCAATCGCGCGCGGCGCGGTGCGCGAATCAGCCAGTCGCGTCCGTCACACCGCCCGGAAATTATTTCCAGATTGTAGAATGTTTAAAGCATGTGCGGCCGTAAGAAGCGGTTCCAGATTTTTCAAAAAAAAGAGAGGGGGAGTTTTCAAGAAACAGCTTTGGGTGATGGGATGCGCCCGCCGCGCAGGATATCTGAAGAAGTCGGAAATTTTCAAAATGGAGTCCGGAATTTCCCAAAACCGATTCCAGAATTTTCCAAAACAGCGATTCCAGGATTTGTCCAACAGTAGGCCGGAGGCTTTTTCAAACACATTCTTGGATGTTTTCAAATCTACCTTCGGAGAATTTTCCAGAGTGGCGCGTGATTTGCCTTGCCAGGTCTTTGGGAATCCGCCGAGGCGCGCAGTTTGTGGCGGCGGGCGACGGCGCGGTGCGCCACCGTCCCCCCCCCCCGCGCTCGGCAACGAGAAGGGGGATCAGCAAATGCCAAGTAGCCCCCTACGGACGAATTCTCGATTGCGAATGGGTTACCGACCAGCGGCGCCAGGCAGAGTAGACAATATTCGACGCAAGGTGTACCCCGCGCGGAGGGTTAGAAATCCCGGAATCCCCGGAACGCATCCATAACAATCTGTGTCAATAAAGTTTTCTCGTCCTATTAATACCCTGGCTTCAGTAGTAGCCCCATGCGGTTGTCAACAGTGGTGGCCGTTCTTTCATTCCCTCCCTCCCCCCTCCCCCTGCTTTCTCCTTTTTTTGTTTTGTTCATGCAGATGGCCGGCCTCCTCCTCCTCCCTCTTCTGATGCGCTGCCGCTCTTCTTGAGGGCGTTGTGTGGAGGCTACCTTTTTGGAATCTCTGGCCCCGCGACTGGTGTGAGGCGGCACTCCAGCTCCAAGTGCGCGGGGACGTGCTCGAGGATCGCGCCCGGGCGTGCAGAGGTGGCACGCCCTGTTGCCGCCGCCAGCGCCTTCCAGCATCGCGCGCGCGATCGGCACGGCGTCGACCTCGCCCCCTCGCCTCCCCGACCGCCGCCGTCGACGGGGCCGGAAGGCACCCCTCGTCGGCGCCCCGCTTCTGCGCGGGCCGCCCGCCAACGAGTTTCACGCGGAACTCGCTCTCCCTGGAGCACCCCGAAACCCGAGCGGCTCTCCTGAGGCACTCCGCCTCCGCTCCGACGCGCCCGCAGTTGTGTGGTTTTTGCTCGCTGCCAGCGCGCGTTTGGGACGCACCGACAGCTACAGGGACTTGAGCCTGCTCCGGCACAGCCCGACGTGCTTCACGCTCTGAGGGCGCTCCTGCCGTCTGCGGCCCTCCCCCTCTTCCTTCCCGCCGCCGGTCGTTCCCCTTTTGTGCTTGAGTCGCTCAGCAGCAACCCTGTTGTAGCTCGAGCGCAAGTCGGACCCAGGGCGTCGCATGTAAAACACCGTTGCCCTGGCCTCCTCGGCCGTCTCCGCCCTCCTCGTCGCCCCCTCCCTTCGAGGCTCCAGTACAGAAAAAGTGAGGAGGCCTTGGTCGCCGCTCCGATTGCTCTTGGCTGCCCGACCAACGGGGCCAACCCGCCGACCGTGACTGGGCTGTGGCCTGGTCCGCGGAGGGGCCAGTCGGGGGGAGGCGGGTCAGAACGCCGCTGTCCGGCTCCTTTGAAGCTATCGCTGGGCTCGAGGCGGGGGAGGAAGGGGAGGAGGAGGAGGGAGAGGAGGAGGAGGAGGAGGAGGAGGAGGAGGAGGAGGAGGAGGAGGAGGAATTGGAGGAGCAATAGGAGGAGCAATAGGAGGAGGAATAGGAGGAGGAGGAGGAAGGAGGAGGAGGAGGAGGAGGAGGAGGAGAGGAGGAGAGGAGGAGGAGGAGGAGGAGGAGGAGGAGGAGGAGGAGGAGGAGAGAGGAAGCTGATGATGATGATGATGATGATGATGATGATGATGATGATGATGATGATGATGCTGATGATGATGATGCTGATGATGATGATGATGATGATGATGATGATGATGATGATGATGGAGGAGGAGGAGGAGAAAGAGGGGAAGGAGGAGGAGGAGGAGGAGAAGGAGGAGGATGAGGATGAGGATGAAGATGAGGATGAGGATGGGGATGAGGAGGAGGAGGAGGAGGAGGAGGAGGAGGAGGAGGAGGAGGAGGAGAAAAAGGAGGAGGAGGAGGAGGAGGCTCGATACTCGTCGAACCTCCACAGGATGCCAACGGGGTCCCAGGGGTCTGAGAGGATGTTGATATCGCTGCCGTTGCCGCCGTCCTCGCGCTGCCGCCGCCGCCAGCTTTGCGCATGGGAGAGGGCCCTTGCCCTCGCCACGGCTCAAGGCGCCAGAACGATTTGAGCATGAAGGTCCATAGCATGCATCATGAACTGCACGTGTCACTGACTGTATGCACAAACACTTCTAATCACACAGGCCTGTATTTTCCAGCTCTAAAAAGCACGCTCGGGCTTGCGCGTCGACTCGCATCAAGGCTCGCTACATTACTGAAGATTATTCAGTCGGTCAAATCTCGGCTGTCAGAAGAATGCGGTGCCACTGCGCTCAAAGCTCAATCCTAAGTCTGCTTCGGTCCCTCACTCTTATCATCCCTGCTGGGTCCTTTCCAGGCCATCTCGGCTTGGCAGAGCGCTTCTTGGCTTCGGTACGCCTCCGTTTGTCCTCTGCCCACTCGGGTGTGTCTTGGTCCTGCAGCACTTTGAAGCACGCCATGCACTTCACCGTCTCCTTGTGGTGGTTACTTCCCTGAGTCGTGAGCCACTCAGGTCGATGCTCACAGGTAGCTGGGTCTAGGATCGGCTCCTTCACCGTCTGCTTGACCGTCTGCTAGTCGTAGATCGTCTTGTCGTAGATCCTGTACTTGACGTCCTTGGTCTTCTCTTTGGCCTGGTTCGGAGCCGTTGTCGTTCCTTGTGTCTGTGCTGAAGACTCCGAGCTCGTAGGAGATGAGTGGCTTGCCACGCCCTTAGTCTTGCCTTTGCCTTTAGCTGGGATGAGGAGATCGTCGTCCGCTTCTTTGTGCAGCCATCCTCGTACGTCCCCAGTGTCGTCGTAGACTGCCGTTGAATCCACCAGGATTGCCTTGCCATCTCCCTGAACCGATGGTGCCGATTGTTCAGGCTCTTGATGCTTGACTGCCTTGCGGACTCGTGGTCCACACCCGCACTGGCCCACCGCCATACGGCATACCTCACATACCGCCATCGCGGCAGCTGCTCCAGCCGGTCCCTTCACGACCAGAAGCTTCGAATCGGTGCCGTCCTCCATCATGTAGGCCTCATAGCAGTCGCCGTCACATTTCGCCGCTGCACGTTCACCTGTAGCGTCAGCGCCGGCTGGTCGAGAGGTCCTCGGCGCTGGGATCGTTCATGTCCAACCGTTTGTCGGTATCGTCCAGGAGAGTGCGTTCCTGCACGATCTCGTCGAGCCAACTCGTGAGTGCCTCCTTGGTGGGGTCGTAGACCGTGATCAGCTTCTTGATCAGCTCGGGTATCTTCCGCCGTCTCTGCGTAACTCCAGGATCGTGCCGGTCGACAACGTCCTCTATCGTGTGGTAGCAGGTGTCGTTCGCTGTCTGAGCGAGCATCATGCGCCGCTCGAGATTCCACTTGGGCCCACCTGTGGCCGTTTTAGCTCTGTGTCGTCGTCAGCCCAGGCCTTGTCGCAGTACGCGCAGCCCTCCGTGGCGCACTGCTGCTGCGCCTGTCTGACCCGTTTGGGGTACTTGGCGGCTCTGTAGAGCTCGCCGCGCTCGCCCTTCGGCTCAGGCCTCATCGGGGCAGCCGCCTGGTCGTGCTTCGGGTCCTCGGTGAGCCTGTGATAGGCCGTCTTCAGCACCTAGCGCATGTAATCGGCCGCCCGAGCGCCGCTCTCTGGCAGACCGTCGGCCAATACCTGCCGGGTGTTGACCCACTTGGAGACCATGCTCGATTCCTCCATGTCGCTGCGAGGTGCCTCTCGCTGCGTCCGTTGGGAATCGTGCCACGCTTCTGTAGCAGGTCGTATAGCAGTTTGCAGTCCGTCACACGTATCATCTGGATGTTCGCCACGTCATCTGCGTGTGCCCTGTAGTCCAATGCGTGAGTGTATCTCTGCAAGATGAGCTCGTATGAGATCTCCACTCTCGACTGTTCCAGTGCTGCCATGGTCTCCGCCGTCAGGGCACTGCGAACAACCCGTTCGATACGATGTGATATCCATCTCATCGGTGTGACCTTCGCCGGTTCGCCTCGAGCACACGTGTCACCCTCGTTTCCGGCTGGCAGGATGTGGAGCCCAGCCTGGCTGGCCGTCTTGTGTGTTTGCCCACGGTTGCGAAGCCAGGGTCGCCGATCGCGAGCACCGCCGCCCTGACCAAGTCGATGGTCTGGAAAATAACCTCCACCTGGTACGTCTTACAGTGGAGGCCCATGCCAAGAACACCCTGCTTGCCTTCAGGGTGCCCTGGGTTTCTTGGGTTTCTATCATTTTGCTATGGACAGCGTGACGTGCCCACACCAAAAATCAATTGACTTCCTGGGGTCTCAGGGTAGGGTTTCTTATGGAAGGTTTCTTGTGGTCGGGCCCCTACTGTAGCATCCACGATCATCTTGTTGATCTCTATGATGTCCTGTACGGTCCTCTCCAGGTGTGCGCTCGCGTCTGGTTTTTGGCCGGCTGGGACCTGAGGGCCATCTTCGTAGACATGGCCAGTCGCTGTTCTTGCCCACTGACTCGATGCATCGCTTGACAATCCTCTGCCGTGATCTTGCTCTCCTTCTGCTTGCGTCGTGCCGCGCTCAACGGTATGCGCTCGATGCTTTCCGTGGCCTTGGTGGATCCGCTTGAGGTACCTCCCGCGGTGGTGGAAACCCTGCTCGATGCTGTGCCACTTGCCGTAGCAGTGCATCTTCCTCAACGCTGCGACCTGGTTTTTGGAAAACTCTGGGGATCCAGCAATCAGATTGTCGTCTATCGTGCCCCGATGAGCCCGATCACCTTTCCCGACTCGTCCCTGAAGGTGAAGGTTGCGTGGTATAGCTTTGATCGTGATGCTCCTAGTAGTGATAGAATGGTGTCGCGATGCGTCTCGTACCATAGCAGTGGTGCATAACACATTCCGTAGATGTCATCCTTCGCTTGCAAGATCGTGCCTTCGGGTATGCCAGACCATCTTAGCTCGGGTACCGCAGGTAGTCCACCCTTCGGGGCTGAAGAGCACGCGCCTTGTCTCGTCCAAGAAGCGGCCGTTCAGGAAGACTGAGTCAACGTCTCCGTATTCAAGTGTCCAGTCGTGGTTGCTCGCCGTCTCCTATAGGATGATGACCGTCGCCGCGTCGGTACGTCTGGGCGCATTCTCAACTCGCCTGCGAGGAGCTGCTTGTCCTTGCACCCTGGCAGGACCTTCCTTGTCTTGGCGTCCATCATTCATCGTCGTCCACCCTCCATCGTCATACATCGTCGTCCCCGCCCTCGTCGCCCATCGTCCATCGCGCTGCCTCCTGCCGATGTGCACGCCTGCTGCGCCGCCCTCGACGCCCCGCCTCGACATTCGCAGCCCTGCGGCTCCGGCAGCGGCGCCTCCCGCGGCCCCGCCACACGCACCCGCGATGGCGCGTGGCGCGCGCGGCCGCGGCGGAGGCAGGGGTGCCGGCAGGGCGTCGGGGGCGCCCGGGCGCGGCTTCGCCACCGTGGCAGACGAGCGCCCGTGGCTCAACCAACGCCGACCCAGATCTCCGACGATCAGTTTTTCTGAGTCTGGCAGGTTTTTTCCAACATTTCGGCCCTCGGGGGCCGCTTCAGGCCCCAGAACCATGAAACGTTGATCTGGGGCGACAAGCCACCCCCAGGGAAGTGGTCGGGACCTCTGGGGACCGCAGACGAGCGACCGTGGCTTTTTGACACAGACCGAAAGACAGAAAACGGCAAAAGCATAATTCCTCAGTTCCGTGCGGATTTCATGGATCGGCGCTGGGCCCCTGTGGCGGCGCCTCCGGCGCCGCCCCTGGTACGCTCCGCGCGCCAGGGAGGGGGTTCCATCGACGATGCGAGAAATCAGCGCGGACCTCCGAGAAATCCTGTTTACGATATTGTTTGTTCCTCTGGCAGAGCGGAGGGTCGTCGGCTATTGGCCTCACCGATCCTGGCCGGGGCGATCCTGGCTGGGCCCAGGATACGGTCGGGGACTTGGCCTGGCGTGTCGCTCCAATGGTTCTGGCCCACCATGCTGCGGTGCGACACGCTTCCCGCGCCTCCATTCCCAAAGCGTCAGTGTCCCGAGCTGTCCCGCCCCGCGGAGCGGAGCGACACGCTATCCGCTTGCAGGGCATGGCGCGCCGCCCGGGCCGCGGCGGCGACACGCTGAGCGCAAGTTCCAGTGGTCTGGTGAGGTGGACAGTGGGCTGCCCTTGGCGGTCGAATCAGATTCTGGAGCGCTTTCCATCCGATGAGCCTCGCAGAGGGTTATCTGGGGGCTCCCGTATTCTGCCACACCGTCGGAAACTTGAGCCATGGTTCGAGAGTCCACCACCGGTTGTTATGCATTGCCAGTTGCACTCCTCGTCTGTGCCTTTGTCCGCCTAAGTGGCACACACATGTTGTCAGTCTATGGCCTGCATCCTTTCTTGCTGTTTACGCGATCTGCACACCTCTGGGAGACAGTTGGAATCTTTGCGCCATCAGGGGTTTATTGTTTCAGCACCTCCGGCCTCTCGGGAGCCTGCCTCGCTGAAATACTCGTTCGGCAGCCTGGGCGGTCGTTGACAAGCAGGAGCTTTTTCTTGGAGGCCTGTGTTCCCGATTGGGTCCCCGGGCTTCGGGCAGCAGTCGCGCGACACGCTTCGACGACGGCAGCAAATGCTGTCTCGGTTCGCAGCCCCTCGGATTTTTCATCATTCCAGCGTGAAGGGAACGACAGGAAATGGAAGGAAGGCTTTGCCCGTAAGCTAGTCCACACAGTCAGTGGCCCCTCCCAGATGGAGTCCTCGTAGATGGGGTTGGAGGATCTCGCCGCATCGCAGATGCATCGGCGATGCGTCTCGATGTGGAGCTCCATTTTCTCCGCGCTGGTGTTGCCGATGCCCCGCCGACGCCGCCGATGCATCGCCGATGCATCGGCGATGCGGCGCGATCCCCCGAACCCATCTGCTCGGACCCCATCTGGGAGGCCTCTCGCTGTGCCTCGAGGGCGCAGTGGCGGATTGCACCTCGTCAGTCTCCGGCTCTCCTGCCAGGAGCAGCGCGGCACCGGCGGAGCCGCCAAGCGCGCCGGCGCACCCGCGCGCCGCGGCGGGAAGGAGGCGAGGGCTGGCTCCCGAGGAGCGCTCCGGGGCCTCTCCGTGGCTGCCCCCTCCCATGGAAGCGAGTTGGCCGTGGCCCCTCGCTTTCCTCCCCCTCTCTCCTGCCCCTCTCCCGCCCCCTCTCTCCATAGCAGCATGTGCCGAGCCCTCCTTTCAGCAGCACCCCTCGGCACCACTCTCCCTCATCCTCTCCTCCCTTCCGCCGCCACCTCCCGCCTTCCTCCTCGCCCCGCTGATACGTCAAGCAACCTGTGCCGAATCCGCCTCTCAACATCCGCCTCTCCGCCCTCTCGCTCCTCCCCTCCTCTCGCCCGCGCCCCCCTCTCGCCCCACCAATGGCCCCTCGGTCCTCCCCTCCGCCCTCCCCTCCGCCCTCCACCCACCTCCCCAGGCATCCGATGTCTTGATGTGTTCAACAAGGGGTCCTCGGAAGTCCCGTCCCGTTCCCCATGCCATCGTTTCCTCCTCCGTTTTTCCTCACGGCTTTTTGACGGTGCCGGGGCCCGGCGAGGACACCCAGAGGCCGAACATGAGGAACAGCCCCCCGTCGTGCTTTTTTTTCGCGGCGCCAGGATGTCTGGGGCCTCCCGGCAGGGGTCCACGTCCTGGGTCACAGATCGGCCCCTGGGCTTGTCCCGGGGTGCCTTCTGAATCGAACTTCGCGGCGCATCCTCGTGGCCACGAAGCGGCCCGAAGCGCTCCGAACCCTCAAATTCTCGCGGGTCGGGGGAGAACGACGATCCCGTTGTCCCCGAGATCCGACGTTGCGAAACAATGCAGCAGCGCGAAAACTCACGACCCGAGCCCTGGACCCAATCAATCTTTCTGCGGCACTCAGCGAACCAGGTCGATCTGTGCTGGCCCTGGGCCCGAAACCAGGCGCAAACGTCAGAAATCCAAGCGAAGCGCCCGAAAACCACGCGAGGAGGCGGCGGCCCAGCTGCTGGAGCGCCTCCGGAGGGACACGGTCCGAGGAGAACGTTCGAAAACCAGCGAGAAACGCCCGGCACGCCGCGAGCACGTCTGCAGGGGATCGCCGCTTCGTCATCGCCGCCGCCGTCGTCGTCGTCGTCGTCGTCGTCGTCGTCGTCGTCGTCGTCGTCGTCGTCGTCGTCGTCGTCGTCGTCGTCGTCGTCGTCGTTCTCCTCCTCCTCCTCCTCCTCCTCCTCCTCCTCCACCACCTCCTCCGCCTCCTCCGCCTCCGCCTCCTCACCGTGGAAAGCGCACACGACCTCTCGCCAAGGCGTCGGAGCACTTGCCCCCAGGGCGAAGCGTGGCCGGCACCCGGAGGAGAAGATGATTCGGGCGGAGCCCAACCCCTAGCAGGGCTTCGGGCTGGTGGCTGGCAGGGCCTTCCGACGACAGAAAGCTCCTGCGCCGCCGCCGCCGCCGTCGGATCTCGGGGCTCCTCCTCCTCCTCCTCCTCCTCCTCCTCCTCCTCCTCCTCCCCGCGCCGCGCGGCACCTCCCCCGAAGGCGCGGGCGGCGCCGCCGCGCCCCGCCGGCCCCTCGCCGACCTGCTGGACTACCTGCGCTCCTGCGCTCAGGCCCTGGGCCGTGGGGCCGAGCGGCCCGGCCTGCGGCCGGACCGACGCGTAAGATCTCGGGGGCGGAAGAGAGGGGGGTGATGACTAGGGGGGGGTGGATATCATGGCGGGGGCCATGATATTTTCCCAGATCTCATGGCGCCTCTTCTTATTTTATTGCGTCCCTGGTCCCCCCGCTGGGCCGCGCACATGCCGCCGGTCATGATTTGCACCCCCCCCTCTTGGACACCCCCCTCTTGGCCGCTCCCGAGGGCGGCTCGGGGAGGATACCCCAGTCTCCTTCGTGCTTGTCGTGTGCTCGTGCGCATCCTGGGGAAGGGCACCCTCAATGATCTGGTGACCTGGGGGTGCTCTGGTCAGGGCTTCCTGCTCTTGAAGGGTTCGAAGAAGAAGAAGAAGAAGAAAAACGCCAGAAACTTACACGTTTGGCGCTCCGCGCGGATTTCTGGGATCCGCGCTGGAGCCCCCTTGCTGGCGCGCGGAGCGCGCCAGGGGCCGCGCGGGAGGCGCCGCCGGGGAGGCACAGCGCGGATGCAAGAATCTGCGCGGAGCGCCAAACGTTTATCTTTCTGGCGTTTCTCTTCTTCTGGGGATCTTCTCCTGCCCCTGGGCCCCGCTGTGTGCTCCCCGCCCTCGCGCCGGCGCCCCCCCCTCGAGCTTCGGGCTGCGAGGGTCGAGGCTCGCTCCTCGGACGCTCCTGGTCGTGCTGCGCCGCCCCCGCGCCTCGACGCTGGGGTGAAGTCGGGCATGTCCGTCCACAGGAGGGAGATCCAAAAATAGTAAAAGCATGATCAGGGGCGATTTGTAAAAGTATTTATCACTAATATATATATATATATATATATATATATATATATATATATACACTCTTAGTATCTCTCATTTTTTGCCCGAAATCCGCCTGTAGGGGGACATGCCCGACCGCACATCGGGGTCAGAGCGCACCCCAGGAGAGGCCCGGGGCAGGTAGGTTTTTGACCCCCGGAGCCCCGGCGTGCCCGCGTCGAGGTCCACAAGGCGTTCGGGCGGTTTTCCGAGACTCGGGCTGCTCTCCTGCAGCCGCGCCTCGCCACGGGCGTGCCGCGGGGGGGGTGCCTGGATCGTCCCGCACGGCCCCCGGAGGCCCGAGCTGTGGCCCGACAGCTCGACGGGGGGATCGACTACAGAAGTGCTTTGCCCCAGAATTGGTTGTCACGTCGACTCCTCAACAACAAATGCGTCGACCATTCGTAGACCTGCGAGAGTTCTGCGAATTGCCCGTGGACTCGACAAGAAAAATCAAGTCAGGGGCAAGTTCAATTCTGTAGTCGATCCCCTACTCGAAAAGCCAGACATGCTCGTGTCGCGAAACATCGCGAAGGGAGTTTTTTTGCCTCCGGGGGTTCTTGCCTGGCCCCGGGGCTGTCCGAAGCGGCTCGGGGCGAAAAGCTGATCCTGGGGTTAAGTCGGGCCTGTCCCCCTACAGGGGGATTTTCGACGAAGTAGTCCCAAAATAGTTCGGGGACTATTTTTTGAGTATTTTTCCACCTTTTTGGGGCATTTTTCGGGTATCTTTTAGTTTTCGTCGAAAATCCCCCTGTAGGGGGGCACGCCCGACATAACCCGGGGGAAAGGGTCGGGGTTTTGAGGGACCCCGCATCGAAAGGATCGAGAAGACGTCGGACGTCGGTGGCAAGTCGAGGTCGAAGATCGAGAGGTCGTCGGACCTCTTAAGAGTCGAAGGGCCGATCGAGGAGAGCGAGAAGATCGAGAAGTCCGGGCCTGGGCCCCGCAGTGGCCCTCGCGGGCCTCGGGAGGGGAGCGCGGCTGGCCCGCCCGCAGCTCTGACCAGGGCTTCCCTGCGATCCGGCGCAGGACAACAACGGGAGCATCGTGAGGCATCACGGCAAGGGCCCCGGGCCCCCTCTGTCTGCGCCATCTTTCGAGCCGGCTCGACCTTCTTCCTCCCCCTCCTCTTCCTCCACCTCCTCCTCCTCTTCCTCCTCCTCCTCCCCTTCCTCTTCCTCCTCCTCCTCCTCCTCCTCCTCCTCCTCCTCCTCCTCCTCCGTGAGGGTGTGGGGGCCTGAAGCCGGGCGGAAAAGCGTCCATCTCGGAATCGCAAAAGCTCGTCAGGATTTCAGGGTCGCGCCCCGCCCAGGGGGCTGGTCCTTCGCGCAGCCCCGCGAGGTCCCCTGACGCTCGCATCGCTCACAGAGGCGTCACCCCAAGATGCTAACTTAAGTCGGGCCTGTCCCTCTACAGGGGGAACATTCAAAAGTAGTCCCAAACCAGTCTGGGGACGATTTTTCGAGTATTTGTTTTTGGCAATGCTGGAGTGTTTTGGGGGATATTTTAGGGGGGCATGCCCGACTCAGTGCTGCTTCTCAGTGCTGCTTCTCTCTGATATTTTAGGGCGGCGCGCGCTCCGAGGAATCTTGCCGTGCACACGCTCCGCGGTGGGCGCTCTCTGGCCAGGCCGCTCCGGAAGGGATGCACTACAGGATGCTTCTGCTGTGTGGTGTCCCGCTGCAGGGGTCGTTCGGCCGTCCGCGCCAGGGCGCCCAACTCCGCAAGAACAAAGATGCCCTGGCACGCAAACGCCAACATTTTTTGTCGCCCCTGCGCCGCCCCGAAGGCACTTCCAAGGTGCCTTCGGCGCGCGCGACCGTGCGCGTCGCTGTTCGGCGCCTCCTTTGCGCGGCGCCAGCCTTGAACGGGCAGTTTTTGCGGCGGCGACCGTTGGGGTCGGAGGCGCGCGCCTTCGGGTAGGGCACACAGTCGTAGTTTATCATCGTGCGCTCCATCACGGGCTTGCGCACCCGTCCGCGCGCCAGCCTTCTTTTCACCCGACCATGACACCCGATGTGTTGATTCTTCCAGCTATCGGTTCCCGCTGGGATGACCGCGGGGGTTGCTAAGGGGACCGGGGGGGATACAAGCGGATGCCAAGGTGGTGATATCTGGCCCAACCTGGCTTATAAGTGGGGTACAAGTGCCTCACGTGGCTCAGAGAGACTAGCGATCTGGGCTAAGTGGTCTCCGCTCACTGATCGGAGTTATCGAAGCCCCCTAGGCCATTTGGGGCACTTGTAGCCCACTTCTAAGACAGGTTGGGCCTGATCACGGCATCCGTTTATAGCCCCATATCGCCTTACCACCTCCTGCGGTCATCCCAGCAGATGTCCTGACCCCTTCCTCGGGGGTATTTTTTCGCCCCGCATCCGTTTTACAGTCTCCCTGCACCAAAAAACGGCCCCCGAGGGCAGAAATTTTGAAACAACTCCCAGATTAAAGCATGACGTCGGAGGTCTGGGTACTTGCGCACCCGCCCGCGCGCCGGCGTCCTTTCGGCGGCGAGCTCGGGGGGAAGCGAGAGGGCCTTCTCAGAAGGAGGCGGGGCTCCTCAGAAGCCCTTGCGCCTGCTGCGAAGTTCTCCCAGCCTCCTCCGAAGGCAGAGGTGGCTTCTCAGCAGGCCGGCCTGGAGCCCCCCCACCGGAAAGGCGGCACGCGCGAATGGGTTCAACGTGGCGCGGGGAGCGGCTCCGGAAGCGGGGGCCCCAGAAGAAGGGCCGCTCGTTTGCGGAGCCGCAGCCTCCCTCGGCGCGCGAGGCAGTGCCATATACGCTCTTCAGGCCGCTCCTCCCGTTCCTCGCCCGCTTCCCCCCCCTCCTCCTTCGCCCCTCCGCCCCCCTCCCTGCTGCACCCCTTCCTCTCCCCCCTCCCCGCCCCTCCCTCCCTCCCTCCTTCTTCCTCCTTTCCTCCTCAGGCCCGCCCCCTCCGACTTCCCCCTGGGCTCGCCGATGAATCTGGTGGCTTGCGCACCCGTCTGCGCGCCGGCCTTCTTCACCCGCGGGCCTGCCTCTGCCGCCGCTGGGCCGTCAGATTGGCAGACTGCCTACCTTTCTGGGATGGCCGCGGGGGTTGCTGAGGGTATCGGGGGGGGTACAAGCGGATGCCAAGGTGGTGATCTCTGGCCCAACCTGGCCTATACGTGGGCCGCAATTGCCCCCAAGTGGCTGAGGGGGGCCAGCGATCCAGGCCGAGTGGGCTCCGCCCACGGAGCGGGGTTTTCGACCCCATGAGCCATGTGGGGCATGGGCAACATATTCATAAGCCAGGTTCCAGATCGAACCACCTTTGCATTCGCTTATGACTTCGTATCCCCTTAGCAGCTCCCGCGGTCGTCCCAGCTTGCGTTGGACAAACGTTGGCTTGCGTGAGCCGTGGCGTCTTGATGGCCGCTGAAGCAGCGTTCCATCAGCTCAAAATTTTGGAACCGGTGCGCGCATGATGGGATACAGAAGGGCGAGGCACATGGGGCATGACGAGAAGCCCGCCAGAGCACACTGGGCAGGAAGGCTGCCCGCCTCCCCTGCCCCTCTCCTGGGCGCCCTCCCTCGGCTCGGCTCGTTTGGGCTGGCGCCGGCGGGAGGTCCGAGGCGGCCCAGCCTTGGTTCTTGCCAACAGGAGGGGGGGGCGAGGTTCGAGGTGCTGGACTCGAGAAGGTTTTGTGCCCTTTTCGGTCTCCCGGGGCCGTTTCCGGGCCCTGGCGTCGGCAAGAACGGATCCAGGGTCACAAGCTGCACCAGGTGGACCCCTGTCAGGGGTCTGGGGGCGGACTCTGAGCTTACCTGCCCCTAGATCCCCGTCGCCAGTGGGGGCGGCCACCCCCTTGCCAGAGGTACCGCGCTCGCGGCAGCCGGCAAGAGGACTGGGCACGCCCTGTCAGTAGAATCCGCTTCTATTATAGAGGAGGAGGAGGAGGAGGAGGAGGAGGAGGAGGGAGGAGGAGGAGGAGGAGGAGGAGGAGGAGGAGGAGGAGGAGGAGGAGGAGGAGGAGGGTCCTTCGGCATGCATCTGATGACACGGAGCACCCCTCGGCAACCAGACCCCCTCGCGTCTCGGCCGATCCCCCGGGAGCCCGCCCGGCCCAGACCCCTCGGCTCGGCCGCCTCCAGCGTTTGTGGGGGGCCCTCCGCGCCGCGCCCCCTGCTGGCTTTCGCCGTCCCCCCCCCCCCCCG